CAAACTTGTCAGCTTCATTTAGTGTCAACTTCCTGTAGGCAATACCATAAACTTTTATAACCAAAATGCATACTTTCATTTTGTTTCGGAATTTTTTGGTAGGTGGATGTTGCGGAGTTTTTTATTTTTACTAGCCTTCTATAATAGAGAAGTTAAAACGAGCAGCTAGTTCTATTAAAAATCTATTGACATTGATAAGTGGGAATTAAAAATTCAAACAGAGGTGGTCAAACTTTTTGTCCACGTGCCCAAATCATCCCGTGACAAAAAGCCAGGAGAAACATACCGTGCACTTGGGGGAGCTGAGGAGCGGGGGAACAGGAACTGAGTGGGATGAGGACTCCCCGGGGTGATACAGGACTGGGCTGGGCGTACAGCCAGGGTCCAGGACACCCCAGGAACTTCCACCGTCAGCTCCTTCTGGTGGCTGGTTTCCTCCTGTGAGCTGGGAATTCAGTTCACCCACCAGCACCTGTGCCAGCACAGTCCTGCTCCCAAACACAGGAGATGAAATCGGCAGGGGAGCCATGCTGACTACTTGCAAGTTGTGTGTTAGATCATGAGTTGCCGCTGAGCAGCTACACTGAACAATTTAAAAGCATAAACCAAGAGGGGTTCTGTGACAGAGATCGGTAGTATTAATAGCGACAGAGGAGGCTGCACTTGGAAATAAAATATGAAGATACACGGGAGTCAAGATAACCTGCTCATCTCAGAGTCACTCTTTCTACCACTGTTGTTACAAGGAAGACGGGTGACAATATACGTCCTTTCCTCACTGTTCAACTTTTTCAGGTCATTAAGCAATGCTAATTGGAAACAAGAGGAGTATAAGCCAGTCAATGACTCAGCAGTATCAGCCCTTCTCAGTCATCTTCAGTCCTTACATAATTCCGTGGTTACAACAAACGAAAGCTATTTTTCCTTTTCCTTTCTAAAAGATGAAATATGCTTGACAGGGTGCTGAACATGAAATGTTAATCACTTCAATTACCACAAGATCAGAATTTGGCTGCTAGGTGTATGCTGAACATCCCTACCTTGAGAAATACATTGGGGCCTAGCATTCCTCGTCTGTAAGCTACGAAAGCATGTACTGTGCATAAAGGGCCAAAATACGTGTGGGGTTTTTGCCTCTGCAAGCCTGGGACATCACAGAGATTGCCAAGGGCAGAAATTGGTCTGTGGATCAAAGCTTTCTCATGTTAAAGGCTGAGAAGAGGATAAGCTCCGATGTCCGTGTTTACAAGATATGCCTCCAGAGATAGGGCAATATACTTTAGCTTTTTTTTTTTTTAACGTAATCAAAATACAAAACAATCTGCAGAAACGTTTATCACAATCTAGACAATTTTCAGCCCTTAACTTCATCCAAGGTGGAGGGAATCATTCCATGCCACAGGGAGTGCTGGGCAGGACACTGGAAGGAATAAACTCAATTTCCAAGCTAACAAGTTCTGGTAGGAATTTTGTTTCAATTACCAGTAAACACAGCCCTAGAAGAGGTTAGATTTGCACCCTGTCAGCTCTAAGCAGGCACATACGCACACTGTGTTAGGATCCCAGAAGGCACTTGGCGTTCTGGCTGGCTAGGGTTGGCTCCCTCACTCAGTGCAGAACCGCTTTCAGGTGAAAACTGCAGCAAGAGCAAGGTGCTTGTAGCAGAAGATTAGGGCCGTTTAAGTTTGGCTATATGTTTTAACAGAGAACAACATTGTGTTAAAATTATGTACTGAGCTTTATTTTTGCATTGTTTAATCTGTAGAGAATACAATCTTTTGGAGAAAAAAACCCTACTTCAAAGAAACACCTGGTAGAACATGTAAATCTAAGTATTGCTTTACTTTCACAGAAATAGAGGACCCGTTTTGTTGGTTCTTTAAAAGTTACATGTGATTGAAACAGGTTTTAAATGGTGCAATTAGTTTGCCACAAGCTGAAGTGCAACTTCATATGTTGCATGCTAAAGGCTCGGTCTGGCAAACAAAAAAAGCTAAGCTTAACTTAGCTCTAGTTAAAACAGGATTTCTTAAATGCTTGTGTACTTTGCTGAACTAAGACCTAAGAGATACCCACAATACTTGCTTTTCACATTGGAGAATTATGGGACTTAGCCTTTTTGTCTTATAGAATCAAATAATATAACTCTGCTTAAAAAATAAAAGTTTTAAACATCTCTATGGAAGGCTGATTGTTTGTGTTGAGAACTGCTGTGTTATAGCTGTGAATAAGAGAGTTTATTTCAGTTATTCTAGAATTCCAGTGTCTGAGGAATACATATTTAGATCTGAGGCATTCGGGAAACTGTGCAACTGGTCTTCAGCTAAAAGCTAAAGAGTCGTAGAGCTAAAAGTGGATTTTAGTTCCCGACTTTTTGCAGAATGGCACCTACTTACCGATACAAACATTTTTAATGGAAGTAATGTGTTGTGGCTTGTTAGCTGCATCCAGCATGCATTCTTTTTTCAGGTGTTTCACTTGCATTTCAGTCTCAGACTGTACCTTACTGTGGAAAGCAATGGTATATTCACACCCCTTTGTACTGGTGAAGACACCCAAAGGAGTTCTATAAAGAACTTGTATCAGCAAATGGACAAGTCAGCACACACCAAAAAAAAAAAAAAAATCAAAACTGCCATCTAGTGTCAGGTTCAAGGCTGGCTAAGAGGCAGCATAGCACAAGTAAGGCAGTGGAGAATAACGTGAGAGGCAAGAAGGGATAACCATAGCGACTGTACAAGGCTGAACTTAGCCTGTGTTCAACACTATTGAAATCTGCTGAAGGTGAACTTTAACTAAATCTGCCACAAATAAGTGAAATATGTTGCAACAAAGTAATTGTATCTGAGCAAAGCTGTAACAGAGAAACACAAATATAAATTAGGAATCTGTTTAAATGTAACGCCATTCAATTACGTTATTCTTAATTATTCTTAACTGACAAAGTGAAGCAACACGGGCTCTGTGTTTCCCAGAAAGTCACATTGATGTTAGTACATCAATGATGTTAGTACCAGCTCCTTCCTAGCAAGTCTGGTCATGTTTTTTCTTAGGTGGGATTGCTTCTTGAGTCAGAGCTGTAGAGCGTAAAAGACATTAATAGTATAGCCAAGGAGAGAGAACAAAAGCAGAAGCCAAGACTAATAAATTTTATGTGTAGGAAGGTTATATGCAGAAAAGTCAGGTACTTTTCAAAGGTTGTTGCTTGGAAGTTCACTGTTTGAAATACCAAAAGCATTATCTTGCTTCTAATACAAATAAGTATCTCCCGTTTTGTCAAGGGAAAGCAAGATGATGCTGTAAAAAAACCATACATCTGTACATATTTGCTGTGACAACCTCATTATTAATCTTTTTTCTATAAAGATACAATTTACAAGCTCAGCAAAAAGCAGGAGAAATGGCCGCTTCACACCGCACCTAGAAGGGGTAAATAGGGTTGACTGTTCTCACAGCTTTCCAGCTGCCCTTCTGGTGTATGCTAAAGTGACACCAGGAATGCATGAAAAACACAAAATACAGTTACCGCAATAGTGCAGCTGAAGTAACGAGAGCTGGAAAGCACGGCTGGCAAGCAGGAAGGTAAGGAACCACAAGTGGGGCGCTTACCGTTTACCCAAGGGTGGAGGGAGATTCACGCAACGTGGCTGTGGTATTCAGCCAAGGGGGCGTTTCAGACGAGGCGATATATATCTACACGTGCCGTGCAAAGGTAGACAGCAACGCGGTGCTGCCAGATTGGATTTTTCTGGCATGCTTACCGTAAGAAAATCATTAACCGATTAAAAGTGAGATGATCACCAGTAGGCACCATACACAGAAGACAAATGATACACACACAGGAGAACTGAAATTTGGATTTGAGTTGTTGGACAGCTGAGCCCACAGTATTGTGACTTGACCTGTGGCAAACCAGCATTATGCCCTCTCCTTGCTATACTGCTGGCTTTGTGGCTTACCAAAAGCGAGCGAGTTTGGTCACACGAGATGGGACTAGAAACAGATTCTGAAGCGCTCAGTCACGGCACGCTGGCGTACAGACTGCAGCCTCTGGAAGGAGCAGCCTACAGGATTCCCTCTCACAGTACATTTGATACAGCAGGTACATGTTTCTACCACTGAAACGGTACGTTCTCCACGCTGCTGTATATAGCTGTTTTTACTTTCTACACAAAGCAAGCGAAGATACAGTGACAGGAGCATCCCATATGTAATTGGAGGGCCATCTTCACGGAAGAGAGCAAAACAAAGACCTTGAGGTGGACAGACTACCACAGAAAAGAATTTCTGCTCATTTCCCCCCGAGTAAACCAATATCGTGCTTGGTCATACGGCTGTGGGGAAGACGGGGAATCAACTCTACCATGACTTTCAAACTAGTTCCTTAAAAACACAGTATCCATTTCTACTTGGTTAGAAGATAAATGCAGAGGGATGGGATAACTTACTAGCATTACCAGTCTGACTTCTCAATATTGCTTAACCATCAAGCAGATGCTTCTGTCCGTAATGGCAGAGAGAAAAATGCCAAGAACTGTAACACCACGGTAGCTGAAAGCTTCCTGTCTTGGAGGATTATTTTCATCCTTCGCTATTAGGAGACAGATTATAAACCTATTCCTCTGGTTTGAATTATTTCTTACTGAATAAGCAAGATAGGGACTTTTTTGTAATGGAGTATCAAAGCATAACCAGGAAAAGAAAAGTTTGTTCCCAGAAGAGACAAGCACAGTTTTACAGATGCACTTATCATTTATTCTCATTAAACATGATCTTTTTTTTGTGGTTTTTTGGTGTTTTTCATTTTTAAATCAAAAGATAGTAACAGTTGAATTGCTACGAAAAAGATTATGAGAAAGGTTACAGGTAGAGATTGATTTACAGCTGATTTATAAAGTTAGCACTTTCAGAAAAGCAGAATTTTCTTCTTTCTGAAATTAATATTAACTTTCCTAAGCAATTGCTTCCATATGAAAAAATGTGAGTTCCAACAGTAATCTATTCTGTAAAGACAGAGTTTAAGACAGTTCAGAAACAAATACAGCAAAATTCCCCAAAACGCAAAAGTGAAAACGTACACTAAGCAATTCAAGTGTTCTACTGTCTTCCCATTTGTCATTTTTTTCTTATTTAAAATCATTACTAAAAAACAACTATTACAAATCATTACAGCTTTCCATGTCCAGATCACCCACAGTATAACTGTCATACGTTCATCCAAACGTGTACTTAATATCCAAATATCCAGTCACCATCACGAAGTAAGGGCCCTGTCCTACAATCAAGCTCAGCTGATTTTAGCAGGATTCCTGGAGGTTTCAGGGTTTGCCTGCATAGAACTCACTGTAAGCTTGTATTTTAGAGAATCCAAGACCACAATCCAGAAGAAAGCACCTTTCCTTGGTAAGTTTAGTCATTTCAGCTGTATGTAACTGCTGATAGTCAACTCTAGGAATAGGATGTAAGGGAGAAGTATTAAATCTAAAACTGCTGTCATAGGATATTCAGTCTCTATTCATAGTCAGGCTGAAGCATCTTGGAGAGGTCCCTGAATGGCAATAGCTTCAATCTCAACTCGGGCACCCTGTGAGAAAACAATGAAGAAACGTATTAGAAATTTGATATATCTATTTTATGAAGCAAGTGGATGTGTAACACAGCATTGTAAGAACAGAGTGACATTTGAGTGAGATTACACTTCTGACAGTTGTATTACTAATTTAGCAATGTTAAGTGATACTAAAAATTCACTTTACTCTTACTTAAGTATCATAACCCCTTATTTCTAGTGTTGTAGCCATCTTCCACCATAGAGAAATGCATCTCTCATATTTAGATCTCTTATCATGTGTGGGAATAAGACTGGTATACTTAGAAGAAAACTAAATACTTAAGAGTATTCATTAAAGTAATTGCAATTGAAGCTATTCCAGAATAAGAAAAGCTGTCAGAATGCTTCAGAATTAAGGAATTTCAGAAAATTCATTTTTTGGTAGGCAGAAAAGTGACACTTACTTTCGGCAAAGCAGCAACCTGATAGGCTGCTCTGGCTGGGAAGTTTGTCTTGAAAACTGTAATTTAAACAGAAACATCCACCAATAGCCACCAATCACTTAACTTTGCTTGATAAAACACAGTTCAAAGTAATCTGTATAAAATGCAGTCATTGGAACAGTTTCAGGTTCAAGGCTACAAGACAAATAGACTTCTGTGCCAGCTATCATTTCCCCCTTGTTGGTTTTTTTTTGGCCACTGACTGGTCTAACATCTCAACAAGCTACCATTCATCATCGAGAAGGCAGCTACAGTTATGACCTAACGGCCAGTGATAACTTGCACTCTGCTGACACTGCATGGCCTTAACACCAACTTGGCTGAAAAAGAAAGATTAAATCAGAACGGCGATCATCCAATTGCAAAGACCAGAGAGTGGGAGAGGGCTCTTTCACAGACAGAGCAAGAGGGAGAAACAGGCCCCTGCCAAAAGAGTCATGAGCAAAGATCCCAGATTTGCCTAAAGTCAACAGGGGCCAACCTTACTCCTATCAAAGGCAGGCAGAGTTAAAATAGGCCCTTGACCTATTCCTCCATTCACAATTAGGCCTGGCGCTCAAGGATATTAAAAAAAGGGGGGGGGGGGGGGGGGAGAAAAAAAAGGGTATTAGAAAAAAGGGTATTGGTCAAGATATAAGAGTTGAAAGCATAGAATCATAGAATAGTCTGGGTTGGAAGGTACCCTAAAGACCACCTTGTCCAACCCCCCCCCCTGCCACGGGCAAGGACATCTTTCACTATATCGGGTTGCTCAAAGCCCCGTCCAACTGACCTTGAACACTTCCAAGGAATTTGCATAATTAAATGAAAGTTTTACTAGTGAGACTTAACACTAAGCTCAGAAATGTTAATTTCAGGGTCCTGCACTGGCAAGGCAGGATAATAACTCATAATCAAAGAACAGCAACTGCTTTCTTGAACTACAGGTAGGAGGCAACAAGTAACTAAGTATCCAGCTGGTTATTTTTTTACCGTGCTTAAATGCACACCTGTCCTGGTTTCGGCAGGGATAGAGTTAATTTCCTTCCTAGTAGCTGGTACAGTGCTGTGTTTTGGATTTAGGGTGAGAACAATGTTGATAACACATCCATGTTTTAGTTGTTGCTAGGTAGTGTTTATACTAGTCAAGGACTTTCCAACTTCCCATGCTCTACCAACTGAGAAGGCTGGAGGGGCACAAGAAGTTGGGAGGGGACACAGCTGGGACAGCTGACCCCAACTGGCCAAAGGGACATTCCATACCATGTGACGTCATGCTCAGTATATAAAGCTGGGGGAAGAAGAAGGAAGGGGGGGACATTTGGAGTGGTGGCGTTTGTCTTCCCAAGTAACCGTTACGTGTGATGGAGCCCTGCTTTCCTGGAGATGGCTGAACACCTGCCTGCCCATGGGAAGTAGTGAATGAATTCCTTGTTTTGCTTTGCTTGCGTGTGCGACTTTTGCTCTACCTATTAAACTGTCTTTATCTCAACCCACGAGTTTTTCTCACTTTTACCCTTCCGATTCTCTCCCCCATCCCACTGGGGGGAGTGAGCAAGCGGCTGCGTGGTGCTCAGTTGCCAACTGGGGTTAAACCACGACAACACGCAATTCCATTTTGACACGCAGAAGACTATGCTGATAGCTCATAAATAAAAGACTTCATTCAAGACCAGATGTTGCTATCTAATTAAAACCCAAAGCTATATAAATAAGGAACTGAAGTACATAGTCTCCCAAATTCATCTGCACAACATGGCTCATTGGAATCACCTATTTCAGTCTACGTTCAGTTTTGTTAACCAAGCATTATTCTTTTTTTCCTTAAGAGGAGCAGTGTGGCTCATCCTTGTAAAAAAAATGAGCCCTGTCCCATAACAATAACCCACAAATCATTCAAAGATACAAATAGATTTTAAAGAAATGGGAGATACAAAATCTGAAATTAAGCATTTGAAGGCTGCCTACAGTAGAATTATATTAGGGACAACACAGCATCTATCAAGGTAAAGAGGCATGGAAGATCAACCTGTAGGGATAGCAGGAGTCGATCTTCACATGAGAGTGAGTTAGTGGGATGATACGACACAAATCCACAAGAAATTGGGCTGTGCTTGATCTGGTGCTTGCAAATTATTATTTTTTTTTTAAATGTTATATTTCTACTGCAGTGTCAAAGAATCTGGAACTACATCATCTGAGTCATTAAAACACTTTGCTTACTGTGAATATAATTTGTTTCACAAGCCATACTGGTAAAACAGAAACAAAAGATCTACTTACATTGTTTGTAGATATCATTAATATCATTGAAGTCCTTCATGTCTGCCATCAAAACCGTAGTCTTCACAACTAGAAATTGCATAACTGCAGTTATTTTGGACCTCTGACTTTTGTATAAAAGTTGAAAATCTTTAGTGCATTTCTTGCTTTTATTTCATAAATTTCTCTCAAATATTCTAAAAATTTTGAAAAGTTTTGTAAACAGATATTGACCATTAGAACTGCCACCTACAGAACCATCTGAAAAAACCTGAATACCTAGTACATAATAAAACTTTAAGGAATTAGACATTCCTGGCCAGCTCTGAAAATAATCTGTTTTAAATCTTGTTCTAAGCCCAATTCTTCCAAGAGGCACAGAACTGATAAGCAGGTCGAATAAAAAAAGCTGTTGTAAGCAAACTGGTGGCAAAAATTACATCGCACATCTGCTGCCAAAAAAGAAGTCCATAAAAGGCCTGAAGATATAGTCGATGCTAGAATGTTTTACCCATGACTGCCCAAGCCAACATTAATCCTGGTTTGGCTCCACTATTAGAGTCCTCCTCAAAAAAGGCACTGAAAGTGCCTAGAATATTAACACCATAGATACAGACGTGCTTTTACCTGGAACAAAGTCTAGGATGCTTAAAATGCTTGTAGTCAGTTGCAGCTCTGTCTATACCTGAGCTTCATCAGTTAGAATTAAAGTATTAGTACTGTGGACAGGAACTTATGGTAAAAAGTAGTGTCCCATTGATACCCATCACAAACACTTGCACATTGATTTATTTCTTTTCTTTTTTAACCCAGACTCATGATTCCTTTTGTCTCCTTCAGCTATTGATAACAACTGCGTGTTTAGCAAACAGCCTTTTTTTTTTTCCTTGAAAAGGTCACTTTATTTTTTCTTTTAATCCAGGTAGGTAAAAACAACCACTTGTCTGCCACCATCATCACAACACTTACCATTGCCATAGTCACAGCCTGCAGCTTTCAGGATTTCTCCCATGTTTTTTAGAGCCTAATGAAAAATGAGACAATAATCTTTAAGTATCAGCTGGGTTGTATTTAGGTAAGTATGTAAATATGAGTTGTAATCTGGCTACATCCATGTTATAGTATAAGTTTACCCAGCAAATCTTCAACTGTCATCAGTAAGTAAGCAAAATCAGAAATAGATTTAAAAATAAATTAATAAAAGGGAGCTTCTAATAAACCACAAATACTAAACCATCCATTCATTAGATGTAAATGCATGATGCAGCGCCATCACATCCTACCTATTACCCCACACAACCTCTTTGCTGCTGGGGGAACAAATCTTTCCCCATCTCAAAGCCAGGGTTTTTACTAGGGTCTGAACCTTTGTTACAAACATTACATTTTCTTTCCTACATTAAATACAGATTCCTCTCCTGACCTCCACATTGTTTGGGTGGAAAATGACAGGGATAGGATGGAATGGCTTCCTCCTGCTTTTCCCCTCATCTTGGAGCATGTGAAATGCGCTCTCTAAAGCTCTTCAATTTCTCATAAGTCCATGTTTAACTAAGCACATGCCAACTCCATGACAAGTTTTTTGCTAGAAGACATCTTACCTGCTTAGCTTCTTCCTTGGCCCCTCCAGAGACAAGCTGCCCGGTGGAAGGTTCTATACCTATCTGTCCTGCAATGTACATCGTCCGGTCTACCAGCACTGCTTGGCTGAAAACATAAGTAACATTTTAGGTTTAATGTTTCCCCATCGAAACATTTAGCTATCTGAAAGCACACTTCACATTTTCTTCAGTAGTTTATAGTATCTCAGACAGGTGGAGGACTTAAGTTATGCACGCACAAGTCTGTACACACAGTCATACGTTCAATCTGCTTATGCTTTGGGAGACCTGGGATAAGATCACCTATGGAAAGACATAGCTATATTAGCATAGCTCTGTTTGAGGTAATAAACTGTTTCTTGGAAAGGCAAAAGGCATGAGTGCAGCAACCCACCACTAAACACAGCTACACAGCTTCCACACTGCAGATAGCACAGAGGGGGGGCAGAGTAAATAAACATATTTTGCACCTGCCCAGATAAATATTCCATCCCAGTTTGATAGGTAGACAATACCTTTCATCTACATCTCAGCTGCAGAGCAATGAAGTTTAAAAAAAAAAAGCAAAAAAGAGCTGATCAGTAAATTTGCCATTTTCTTCTCAAATGAGCGCCATGATAAATGAGTTACAGCTGTGAGGTGAAAGCTTGCATGCTAGTTCTCTGGCATTATTCCTCCAAAGTCATGAATTTGGCCTGTCAGCAGGCCACCTTGATCACTCCATTCCCAGAACAATCACTCTCCTCTCACAAAATAACTTGTATGACCTGTTGGCTGGATTAGTTCAGAAGAATGCAGAATTCAAGCTATTTGCACAACATTTATATAAAAATGTCAGGTGTGTTTTTGCTGAAGTAGAGTTGGCAATTATTAATGCCTCTAATTACCACAAAGAGATTAAAAGATTGAAACAAAGATTTAAACTACCTAGCAAACATTATGCAAGAGACATAATTTACTTCTCTTCAGCTGGTAATCAAAAATATTTTTCAAAGAAATTAGAGAAAGATTATTTTGAAAGTGTTCGTGGTGTGTCAACACCGTTTTTCTTACCTCTTCCCATTCCACAAGAAAATGCAGTTCAACAAGCCTCCCAAGTTACACAAACTAGAGTTAGGCACCTCCCTGAAGTATCTAAATTAGGAGGTTAGCTTCCCTTTAATGTCAATGGACAAAGAAAGGGACTCTTTCAGAGAACATTTGTGTTACATCTCTTCTCTTAATTGAGGTTGACTCAATTGGATTGGCTCAACCCATTGACTTCACAGGGGATCAACCTAATTTAGGGACTCAGTAAAATGACTAGTTAGGCAATCCAAAGAGTGCCATCACTCCCATCTTTTACCCCTGTCCTACATTCTCCTGTAATTTCATAAGGGGGAAAAATAGCCAGTAACTTACCTGATATAGTGAAATATCTTATATGGTGATTATTTTCTCTATCATCAACTAACAAAATTGGACTAAATCACAATGCTACACCATTTAAAGAAAAGAAACTAGTGAATGAAGTAGTTTTCTAGCTAATGCAGTCTTGTTGATAGAAAATGTGTGTATGAACCAAACACACATGCTTCTTTAATTTTATTTTCTTTCCTACCATGCCCTGCTTTGTTTGAGGCACAGGCCCTCGGACCACAAACTTCTGTTTCTGTTTGAAGCACAGAGAACCATGCAACGAGAAGGTATGAGCTCTCTCTCAAAAAAAAAAAAAAAAGGATTGTCTTGTACTGGTTATTATAAAGCAAATGACACAATGAAACATTTATTCCAACAAAGGCCTTCAGACAGTCCTAAATCATGAATAACTGGGGAAAAAACCCAAGCTGAAGCCTTCTGATACCACTGCCAGATCAACATCTGCAGCAGTCTTATTGGGTCCCCTTCTCTGCTCCTCAACCTTCTCTCTTGGTATGATTACCGGTGGAATCCTCCCTTCACTGAGACTATTAACAATTTACCAGCTAAAGGGTATACTTGTACTGCAGTCAAATGCATGAGTGAAGCTCAGAGAAACTTCAACTACAGAAACCCCAATCACACTTTAACTGCAGATGTATCCTCTAACTAGGGTCAATCGTAGCTACTCTTTAATCTCTGATTCAGCAGAGATCTGAGTGTGTGCCTAAAGTCATTCAGGTTTCAGTATACCTAAGTGTATAACTGGACGGACATTATAATCTTAGAAGAACATCATCCATCAGAGAGATGGTGTTAAGAATCATGCTCTTTAAAGACAAGACTGCAAAGTTAATCAGATCTTTTTTACACAAATGATTGTTGATTAATACAAGAACAGTATCCCTGCTGTGTCTTTTCAAAAGTTTAATATCATTAATGAGATGTATATATATACACATACATACTCACACATATAAGTCTTTTCATATATCTACCTACCTACCTCAAGGTACTGGAAATTTGATACAATAAAGGAAATACAAAAATACATTAAGAATAGGTCACCAGAAAGCATACTGAAGGGCTGTAGCAGAACCAGGAATGCAGCCCACACATCCCAATTCTTCATTCCATATTAAGCCCTCATTCCTCCATTACCATGCTCAGACTCCATGCAGAGATGTAGCAGTTACTTCTTGTGCAACTTTTGCTCAGTGGACTTTGACAAGTTTACTGAAACCTGATAAACTAAGTTAGTGATAAACTTACTGATGTTAGACCCGTCATACAATTAACAGGCTGCATAATAAGCAGTATTTCATCAAGAACTACAAATAAGCACAAAATGTTGGAGTGCAGTTAATCCACAACAGAAGTGGAGAGCTATGTTGAAGGCTAGGCCAGTTGGGGGTAGGGGGGTGTGTGTGTAGCTGAAGAATTGTTGCCTTCTCATGTTTTAGATGTTCTCTTAACTACAAACGATGCCAGGCCCCTGGCTGCAAACCAGTTTATTGTTTAGAGAGGTTAACCTTCACGCCATGTCTCTCTGCTTCTACATTTTGAATTTCTCCATCTTTATAATTCCTATAAAGAACACACAGTTTGAAGCTCAGAAAGCTCAGTTTCAAAGTAATGGAGAGAAAAATGCACCTGGAAGGCACTACGATGCTGCAAATGGAAAGGTTTACGCAAAGGAGTCTGTGTTTATATTGGGAAAACAAAGCCTGAAAGCAGAATTAAAAGTTCTTAGAAAATGCCCTGGTAAAAGTCCCTCAGTACCTTAGATATAAGAGTCTACTATAGTTATTGAACATTTTTTCACATCCAAATAGCAAAGAGAAACCTTTCTCCAATTAAATTTAGGATTTTTTTTTTTAATTGCATTCAGAACTGTTGCAACTAACAACTTACTTGTGAAAATGTTGAACAACATCTTATGTATTCTTACAGCAGCTAGTTTTTAGACTGGAAAGCATTTAAACTTCCTGGCAGCCACATTCAAAATAAGAAAAGATTTGCAGTTCCCAGGCAGTGAACTCTCCAACTGCCAAAGCACGTCGTGGGTCGGGCTCAGCCTTCACTGTCCCTCGCCTCCAGAGGCGGCATTCACTGTGAACTTGCCTATGCAACATGCTTTTTTCTAGGCAAGCGTTTTTTTCCTAGAGAGGAATCATTCTTTCTCTTGCCTTTTTTTTTTTTTCATTCACTGCTTATCACTAACTTCAGAATCATTTTCCCAAACTTCTTTTTTGAGAGACATTTTAAAAGCTCACCTAAAA